AGATTTAGTTAGAAAATATTTGTATGGGAAAAATATTTATGGAAAAATTTTATTTTTATTTATTTGTTTATAAAATATTTTATTTATTTATGAAAAAAAGATCATTGCAAATCTATTTTTAAGTAATAACTGTATTAATGTTTTCTGGGAAATGTTAATGTTTTACCCACATACGGATTGTAAAAATAAAGTTGTTTTTTCGTCTTATTCTGAAACCCCCTCTGAAATTTATTAAAAGGAACACACCTACATTGTTTAGACAACGTTAAGTGAGTGCTTGTAATTTAATATAAACTTTATTGAATAGCAATAAAGTTCAAATTGAGTCTACATTTAGTTAGAAAATATTTGTATGGGAAAAGGAAAAGGGCTGTTTTAGGGTTTTACTGGAAATTATTCGAATTTTTCTCGCTGTAAAAACCATCCCTAGACGTCAAGGACCATTTAAAAAAAAATTGTTAAGATTGGTCCATGCGTTGTTGAGTTATGCGCTTACGTATATTGTTTTGCTTTCTGCTTTGTGTGAGTTATTTATTGAATAAAAATAATCTTGTTATATTATTATACAAAACATATTATCTTGTAGGAATTTTAAGAATCTTGTATTTCATTAAGAAAATATGATATTTCCATATCACATTTATTAATATATTCATTAATTTTGTTATATTATCACTCAATACTCAATACTTATTTCTACTTACAAAAATTGAATATATTTCCGAAATTTGAAGAAAACTAAAATATCTCGGAAAGTAACAAGTTTAGGTATAGGAAATGCTATATAAAAATAAAAGAGTATCATAAATACAGTGTTTCTAAAAAATAAAAAATAGGGTGACTCCTTTAAAAACATTGAGAAAATCGTAATTTTGTTTTGTAGTTCATCCTGTATACAAATTTTTGTCAATGATTTCAATTAAACTTAATTTAAAACTACATATATTGTTTACTTTATTATATAATCAAAAATTGTTTATGCATTACTTCTTTATATACATGGTGTTGATTTCATAGGGATTTCGAAATAAAAATGGTCATTTTTAACAAACCTAACAGAATACTATAATGACAAGAATTTTGAGAAGAATAAAAATTTTAAAAAATATATAGGGTGTCCCATTAAAAAAAATGTATGTTTGCTATACTTAGTTAATAAACCCTGTATAATTCCACATATTTTTCAAATATGGAGAATATCATTGCCTACATTTTTTCTAAATAAGTTTTTTGGATATTCTATTCTTTATCTGTTCTATTCTAAAAACTCACCCTTTATGTATATGTATCAGTGGAAAGCAACAGTACCTCACATTAGACAATGGAGAAAGTAGTTTTTCATTGTATTTTCTGTGCTTTCTATTTGTTTTAATCTTGGTATGGATCATTCTTAATCTCAAAGTTGAAAGATGCATTGCAAGTCTCACACAATAGTATATGTCTTTTGTTAGTGCTAAAACTTTTTCTAAATCGTGCTTGTTATTTTGATTTATAGTCTGCAAACTTTGAAATTAAGTGTATTAGAACTATATTGTGTGTAGGAATATAGTTAAACAGTAATTTGTTTTGTCAGATTTTATTCTATATCTACAGATTGAACCAAATTAAAACGGAACATACAATTTAATACATGTCTGTTTGAACTGCATTTGAAATAGTGGACCAATATAAAACTTGGACAAAAATAAATCCATACCTGGGTATAGACATTGTATAAAATATCGTTCAACTATCTGTCTCACAACAATGTTGTTTGCGTAAGACGGGTTGGTCTAAGGAAACGATAATAGTTCAGGAAATGAATCTCGAAAAAAGTTAAAACCTCGCAATTTTTTCGTCCTGCATGTATCCAGTTGAAATTTTAACAGAAGGTAGGTGATAGCCCAAGGATCAAAATCTATATCGAACCGAAGTGCGCTGAAGGGTTTTAGGGGTGAAAACTACCCCTAATTGTCAAAAATTATAAAATAACATATTAAACCTGAATATGGGTAAGATTTGGTTTGAATTAGTTAAATAATGATTATTTTATACTTTTGAATAGAGTTCCATCATATTTCAACCCTTAAAAAGCAACCTTTGTTAGAGGTTAATGTAAAAAAATTACTAATCCTAAAAAAATGATTTCGCCTTGGATCGATTTGGATAAAAATTTGGATTTAAGCTCAATTCACCCGCTGCTTTATAGTTTATGTCATGTCGACGAACCCTGATTGTTCTAAGGGGTGAAAACTACCCGTAATTGTCAAAAATTATAAAATAACATATTAAACCTGAATATGGGTAAAATTTGGTTTGAATTAATTAAATAATGATAGTTTCGTGCTTTTGAATAAAGTTCCATCATATTTCAACCCTTAAAAAGCGATTCTTATTAGAGATTAATATAAAAAAATTAGTAATGCGAAGAAAATGATTTCACCTTGGAACGATTTGCATAAAAATTTGGACTTAAGCTCAACTCACCCTCTGCTTTATAGTTTATGTCATGCCGATGAACCCTGATTGTTCTTAGGGATGAAAACTACCCCTAATTTTCAAAAATTGTAAAATAACATTATAAATCTTAAGATGAGTGAAATTTGGTTTGGATTAGTTAAATATTGATTTTTTTATACTTTAAAATACAAATTCATACATTTTCAACCCTTAAAAATCAATTGTTATGAGTGCTATAGGTGAAAACAATTTTTTGCCAAAATTTTGCAACTTTTCAACTTTTGAAAATCACCCTTTACAACATTGCAGTTTTTATAAACTAATTTATAAGATATAAATTGAAAAAAGTAGAATTAAATACAAAAAAATTCACTATAACATAAAAAGGCACTATATATTCTTATACATTTACATAAATAGTAGAAAATATTTACATTTATAGGTAAAACAATTATAATATTAATTTTATTCGTCATCAATTACATCTTCATCGTGATCTATGTCATCCTCATCTTCAATTATTGGTTGACTATTATTGCACCCTTCACCTGAGCACCCAGAACAAGTAGAGTTACAGTATAAACCAACTTTTCTGCACCCACATGAAACACCGCATCCTTTTTTGCATTGCCAAAAAATAATTTTCAAAAGTTCGTCGAGTGCAGGTTATTTGTTCATGCGTACGGATAATAACAAACCATCTTTGGAATACCATCCCCAATCTGTTGCTTTAATATTTTCATTGCCAATCCATAGACATATGAGCAGATGTTTTATTCTGTTGTATGGGATTTCAAAATAAGAACGCTTAAAATTTCGAATGTATAACGCCCCACTAGCTAATATACCGGTTTTGTAGATTATTATGCTCCGAAATGTACTGTACTATACTAATAGAATTTTCCGGAAAAAAATTCACTGGTTTTTTTAACGTATTTCTTTTAATTTTTAACGATTTCTTCAAAAACGATTTGTAGAGGTTTTTAAGAGCTACAAGGATCTGTGAATTAAATCTTTTTGGAACCCTTGGTTTTTAAATGGGGTGAGTTTAAAGGGCTCGAAAAAGATGGTGCTTGATCGTAAATCGATGCTTTAAACGGCTATATCTCGCCAAATATTCATTGTACAACAAATCTAAATGAAGGATAATTTTAGTCATTAAAAAAGCTACAACTTGGTAATTTGTATTTTTTTCATATATTCAGTATTTTCGGGCATATTTAAAAAAAGAAAGGTAAAAAATATGAAATTGTAAATTGTTTCTCGCTTTAAGCTGTACTTTTTCTAACACAAAGCATTTTAAATGGGTCAAACTTCTTGGACGTATTAACAATACATGTACAAAGGGAATTTCAGAAGGGTAAAGATCGATTTTAATTATGGAGGAGGTTAGGGTGTTGTTTCGATTTTTTCGTAAAAAATGAGGTATTGACCTTATTTTCATCATAACTCAATTTTTGAGCTGGAGTCTTTTTTATGATAGGTCTATTTATGCTCTTTAAAAAAGGTTTTGTGAGTTTTCTTCCAAAAATGCATCATTTTCCCGATATTTGATTTTGAATCTTTCAAATTTGGCATTTGAAGAAAACCGCTGAACATTGATAGGCCGTATTTCGGTTCCTATTATATCCCAAAAACATTTTAAAAAATGAATTGTATTTGTCTTTTTAAAAGCTACAAATTTGTTCTCTACAATTTTTTTGATAAAATGCACCATTTTCGAATTATTCGCGAAAAATCGATTAAAAACGTGGATTTTTTCGTCTAAAAGTTATTACTTTCAATCGCGGATAACTTGAAAAATATCATTTTATAAAAAAAATGTATAGCACATTTTTTGTTTAGAATCACTTTTTTAATCGAAACCTGTAGTTAAAACGTATCCACGATAACGATAAAAGTCAATCCAGGGAGCACGAAAAAATTGCGAGCTGAAATACTTCATTTCCTGGACTATAACTGGTTTGACAGCATAAATCGTAGATTTATGTGTAGCTTTCAATTTTTATGAGTTCAGAATCCAGCAGCCCGCTGAAGTATTGGATTTTTATAATATAATTCTTTGACAATATTTTGTTGGCCAACCACCTACAGCAGAATTGAGCCGAAATACATTATATTCCTATGTTCCGAATTTATTTCGTTCAATCTGTATATCTTATTTATATATGTAAGTAATGTGTTGTGTTAAATAGCATCGATACAATAAAATAGGAAATAACTGATAAAAATGTTAAAATCGCCACGTATTATACAATAATGAAAGAAGAAACTTTTTTATGCGGATTGACGTTTTTGGTAAGTATTTTATCTTATAACTTTTACTGTCAAATATATAAATAAGCGATAGCAAGGATTTAAATAAGAAAAAAATAATAAGGGAACAATTCTATGGTATACGTTAGAAATGGCACCTAGCATGAACTGATGTCAGGAATCGAACCCCATCTTGACAGTAACTGATTAAGAATATCCGAGTAGTAACTCTGTGTCAACTATCTCTTGATGCGAATAAATACTAATACAACAATCCACAAATATTTTACGTAAAATTAACTTACCTTCAAAATGATCTTTTTCTAATAATATAATAGGATCAATTGGCTCCAAGTCAATTTGCAGTTTTGGCATGTCATCTATTGATTCCGCATCAGTAGTTATAGTTAGTTCTTTAACCATACTTGCCTAAAACAAAACAAATAAAACTAATCTATTAAAATACTTTTTTACGATTTTCTTGTAACGAAAAGTTTTCTATAATTTCCAACAAAGTATAAAAATGGACTAATCTCTATTAATGAAAAAATGTATTAAATGAAAACTGGCTATAAAGGTATTTGGCAAGTAAAATACGACCTAACCAAAAAATAATTCAACTCACTATTTCAATTCATAAAATTTTTACAAACAGTTGTGAATAAAAATATTTTCAGATAAATTAAGTTGTCCGTATTAGTATGCAGTTACAAGAACATAATCTATATTCATAAAGCAATATTATGATTGATAATTACAAGAAATTTAAATGAAATAGCAGGAACATATTATAACTAAAACATAAAATAACAATATCAACTTTGTATTGGCAGTTTTTTGCAAAATATAAATAAGAAACGAAGTAGTAGAAACGGATTATCTAAGCAAGCATAAATACTCACTTAAAACATCTTAGAAATGAATTTATCAGAAGCAGAATAAATATGAGATATACCATTACAAAACTTATTACACAACTCACATATAATAAGATTACAGGTGCAACCGTTGCTAAGATAGATTTATAAAAAAAAATTGAAAGCAGAGTATGGATGAGAAGTACGAGGTAGGATTTAGACACTAAAACGTGAAATTAAATTAAGAAAAATTAAAGTGATTATGCAGAATGCTTACCTGGCGCCTCGTAAGTCTTCGCGCCGTAGTATAACTGTCAACTACACTTTTAGATTTTCTAGTTTCTTTTACTTTTCCTGCTTCGGGTTTTTCTTCCGAGATAATTGGCATATGTGCAATTGACTTGGTCTTTCTTTCATTAATAGTTTCACCCATTGAGTCGACAGACTTGGTTCTTTTGGTAGTTCTTGGTTTCGAGAAGGTTTTGACATCCACACTGGCGCTTCTTTTCCTCCTAAGAGTTAGCGCCACCAAGGCAGAATCGTTAATTATTTTTAGAGATTGGTCATTATCGCAGTCAATATTGACGTTGTCGGAACTAGAAGTATTGAGGAGTGACGTATTTGCTTCTAATGCAGAAAGTGATCGTCGCGTTCTTCTTGCTGAAATACATAAGACATGCATTGCTTCATGTTATGCAGAATGTTCTAGAAATAAAATAAATTATATACTAAGACTGAGAATTATTACACAATTTTATCATTTTCAATCATGACCCCAAAACTATACCGCCAGTAATTCCACTACAAATCGTAAGAAAATAAAGAAAATCTCATCGTGCTATCCCAATAAATTAAATATTTGGTTTAGCGTTAGTTTTCTCTTCATTTAAAAATCGTCTTCAGAATATCAACGATACATCTCCAATGTGTTTGTTTTACCTATAATAAAGTGTCAAGCTTGGAATTTTATTTTTAGAAACTTATTCAATAAATAAAATTATCCTAAATCTTAATACATTATAAAGAGGAGCTAGCAATAAAACTTATTTCATTTAATAAAATAAAGTATGTCCTAAAATTTTTACTCCCTCTAACCACCTAATTCGTTGGCTCTAACCACCTAATAACGTGTTCCGTTCGTTGGCTTCTTAGTAATCGTATTGTCTGGTATTCGTATTATGTTTTCAGTCCACCTAAATCACTGTGTTATAATGAACGTTACAACCTTTGGTTCATTAAAGAGCTAGTATAATTGTAAATTCTATTTTTTGCTCCACTAGCCTTGGTCGTTTATAGCCCCAAATATTTTGCAGAGTATTTTACGCTCGAATATTCCCGAAATGAATAGGGATAGGTACTTCTGCGGTATAGTCGTTGTTCCGCTCTATACGTGAGAACTGGCCTAAGCAAGTAAGCAGTGCTTTGTATATAATAATTTTAGTTCTTCTTTGGATATTTCTTGAGTGGAATTGTTTTTGGAGTGGATAATATGCTTTATTTGTAAGGTTTATTCGTCTTTTAATTACTTCGCTTGATTTGTTGGTGGTTGTCACTAGCAAGCCAAGGTATGTGAAGCTGTCAACACGTTTAAAGATATGACTTCCAAAGGCTGTTTCCCGTTCCTCATTTGCTATAGGATCCTTAGTAACCAACATGTACTCGGTTTTATCTTCGTTGATGATAACCGGCAACAGTGCGTTACTTCAGCGAGCAGAGTGCGCGCCAAGGAGAGAAAGAGAGACGATATCGAGATATAGTGAAGTCGTTTTACCCTGTCGTTTTCGGATTAACGCCCGAAAAATAATTTATGACTCTAGTTACAGCTACTCTGTTATGCTTTCCTTTTTCTACCTGCTTTGTGGTACCGAACCTCCTACTGGTCGGCTGTAGTACTTGAGAATAAATCAGCGCTACCAAAGAGAACCGCTGACTACCTGTGGCAAATCTGATCAGACACTTTTATTACTTATGCGACAGGCTAAAACGATCCTACTTTATCAACAAGTAATGTACAATTGTAAGCAGTTCGGTATAAAACAAAAAATTTTTTCGTAAAGGTTTCCATCTACATAAAGACAATAAAGCTTAGTTTTAACAGCCTTTTGTTACAGTTTTTAATAAAGCCAGTGTTACACTCCCCCTAGTTTTTAATTTTGCCTATAATATAAAACGACAATAGACTAAACTAAACATATTGCTCAACATCTCGCTTGCTACGTCCTATTATGTTTAGTATAATGACTAGTTATGATGGAGGAAAACAAATAAATATATAGGAAAGCTCTGAACGGAACAAGGCCCAATGATACTGTAATATGTAATACATAATATGTATGTCATCCTATCCTAAACCTGGGCGTAGGGGTAGGATTGGATCCTATCCTAACTCTGTTTCAAAAACAAGTATCCCCAATAGACAATACAAATAACATAAACAATACAAACCTGGGGTGGTGTGAATTTGTGGGCTCAGGGTAGAATCAATTAGCTTTGAAAAATCATCATTTTTTATATCTACGAACAATAGTTTTCCATGGTCGACATCAGTACTTATATCTATATCTCTGGAAGGAGACTGTGCAGCACTACTTCTCCTAGTTACTCTTCTGCTAGGGGTTTTCTGCGATCTATCACCAGGAGTACTCAGCGCGTGTATGTCAACTACTACTGTTTCCGTCCTAAATGCTTCACCTAAAAAAAATATTGCATATACTATTTTATATTATATGATGTACTATATATATATATATATATATATATATATATATATATATATATATATATATATATATATATATATATATATATATATATATATATATATATATATATATATATATATTAGTGATGTAACGAATATTCGCATTCGCATTCGCATTCGCGAATATTCGCATATTTTTGCATATTCGCATTTGCATTCGCATTCGCAAAGTTTTTGCGAATGTTTTGCGAATATTACACAGTTTGCATTTAGCTCGTTCAGTATCGAAAAGTGGTGAAAAATAAGTCCATATTTCACTATAATTTGATTTACTCATAGTAATAAATCGCTAATCACACTTTAACTTAAAATTCACTTGTATTTGTGCACGAGGAGAGCAGGGCAAGTGGAGTGACTTGTGTCCCGTGAAATTTTTATTGAAACTATAACCAGAGAACTTAGTTATCTGCATAGAGAAATAAAATTCTCTGCTATAACTTTCTCTCTATAACAAGTCAAATTTGATTATAACAAGAAAAAATATGATCGAAAAACGTGCTTTCTACGTTTTTGGCCCGGACGTGACTATAAATAAATACCTTTTTAAACGACCCCTCAATAAACTTAACCGCCTACAATAAACTTCTTTACAATAAATACAACTGTTTCACATCTTTACTTTAGCAAATATGATAGAATGATACTGGACAATTTAAAGCAGTTAAAAAAGACAGACTTTTTCCAATTGCCTACATACCTCGCGCAAATGAGACTGCCGGCAGTGCCGGAGACAATTAAAATTGCCAAATTAAAAAAAAAACTGAATATTCGCATTCGCGAATGTCGGTGGCATATATTCGCATTCGCATTCGCGAATGTTTAAAAAGTGACATTTGTTACATCACTAATATATATATATACATATACACAAATATATACATATACACAGATATATACAGGGTTGACTACTTAAGAGTCTACCCTCATATTTGGCAATATTCATTGGATTTTGTGAAAATGCTAAAACAGAGATGTCATGTTTTAACGATATAAATATCTGTCCCCTTAAATTTTAAATAGGGATACAGTTACATTAATATACAATCTTACCCTTGTGAGGATGCTAATTTTTTTTTCTTATCACTTTATCAATTTGTTTATAAAACATTATTTACACTCTACATGTATCTTCAATTTTTGTTAGATATATACTTAGGGCAGAAAAATAAAGATAACAGAAGAATAATTGATGATTGATGAAATAAATATGAAAAAAAAGTTACTGAAGAAAATGATAGAAGCTAATAAAAGATAAACAAAGAAAAGGCAGACCAAGGAAATGCTGGGAAAACAGAATAGAAGAACTAGAAGCAAAAAAAAGTAGAATTTTTAAAAAATAAATAAACACTTGACAAAGGATCGCAAAGCATGGAGAAAGTGGATTAGAATGAGGATTAAAATAGATTAATCCGACACATTTAATTGATACAAGGATATGCAAAGAAGAATAATGAATATACTTATGGGTTTATTCGAATATATGAAGATTAACGAATCCGTCTGACAATCCACTCCTGCATAAAACATCATATAAAACAATATTTGCTAATTTATAAGTACATAACATTTTGAATCTGGTTAAAATTTTATTTACCTTCTATAACCATGGAAAATAAACATCTAATTCAAACATATTATCTTTACTTCAATTAAAAATGAAATTAAACGTGATTGGTCGATTTAGAACTTTTTTATACGACAAAATTCAAAGTCCAGTTAACAAATATGTAGCCGAGTCTACAAAAAAAGAAAAAAAAAATTCAATTTGGAAACAATTCAGTACTTTCAAACCACTATTGCGAAGTTGCTGGAGAAAGGAAATGTTCCCCAAACGTGACTTATAATAAATATACCCAAAAAGTGTGACGATATTGCGAAAATAAAAAGAAATCATACTTCTAAATCCATCATATGGCTCTAGAGTCCAATAATTAAAGTTCTGGCCTCCGTCAGCAAACTTCTCCATTCATTGCGGTCTGTAGCTATTCTCCTCCACGATCGACTTCCAAAGAGATTTCTGGCATCTTAATCCACTTCATCCACCCATCGCTTTATCGGTCTCCCAATATGTCTCTTCTCCAGTATTCTTACACACTTCTGAATACCATAAATAAAATGTTAAGCAAGGAACAAGCTGGCTTCAAACCAAAATGATTCTGCATAGACTAACTCCAAGAGAGCCTTCGACATGCTCACACATTGCCATAGAAAACTACATGAAATAGAAATACCAGAAAAAATAGTAAATCTTATTAAAGAAATATACAAAAAATGAAGTTCTAAACAACCGCAAAACGTCTGACTCAATAGCTATGCTAAACAACATAAAACAGTTCTATTTTACCACCCCTACTATTCAACAGTGTACTGAACTCTGTACTCTTGTTCTTTGGGTGCCGTCTTCTTAGCGAAGGTTGGCGATGATCTTTGAAAGGTCTTCCCTATTTTGGGCTTTCCTTATTAAACTTTGAAAGTCTAATCGTGTCCAATCTTTGATGTTGCACAGCCAGGTCATTTGTCGTCTACCCGGGCCGCGTCTGCCTTCTATTTTACCTTCTATAATAAGCTCTGTACTAACTATCTCTGTACTAACAAAAGGTAACTCTAATAGAGGAACTTACTGAGGATTAACAAATAGATATACAAAACAGGAAATACAACTCCAAGTAAAAAGATTACAAGAAGAATCAAAGAAGAGTGGTCTAAAAATAAACATTAACATAACCATAAAAATGCGATTTGACACTAGAAACAACCAATCTATTGTGATCAACAACCAAGAAATTGAGAGAGTGGTAGAATGCTGGAATTTGTATATCTGTGTATAGACTGTAACGGTGATACAGAGCGTAGTATGCAGGAAAGAATTGAATAAGGCTCGTAAATCCTACAATATGCTTAATAAAATGGAAATCCGGGATTTACCCGACTAAAACGAAATTAAAAATCTTAAAAACAAATGTAAAAACTATATTACTATTCGGATGTGAAAAGATACACGCATCCATAGTATACAAATTACAACTTTTCATCAATAAAACGTTCCTAAAAATCATTAGTATATTTTGGCCTAACCGAATTTCGAATGAAAATTTATGGAACCAAACTAACCAATAAAACGTCATAAAACAAATAAGGCCGAGAAAATGAAGAAGTCTGGGCCACACACTCCGTAGACCTCCAGATAACGTTGCCAGGACAGCACTGTACAGCTGAACAGCAAAAAAACACCAAGAACTACAAAACGCCAAACAACTGAATCTGAGAAATTAGACCAGCTATTAATAATGATGAAAGAAATGAACACAACTCAAAAAGATATGAAGCAAGAACAGAAAGAAATAAAAACTGAAATAAGAGAAATTAAAGACCAACAAAACAAATCAAACGAAGCTCTACTAAAACTGACAGTAGAAAACGAACAATTTAAAAAAGAAAATCAGGGTGTAAGAAAAGAGAAAAAAAACTAATGAATGGTCTAAAAATGGATACAAATGAACCAAGCATCCTAAAAGAATAAAAGGATTTTTTAATAAACATCTTCAAATTGATATTACACCTACAACAGTTAAAAAATAGGCGGAAATACATGCGTAATAGAACTAAGAAATGAAGAGGAAAAACACGAGATCATGGCAAAAAAATATAAACTAAAAAACGTCGTAGGAGAGAAAGTATTCATCAATGATGACTTGACTAGAGAAGAGAAAGAACACCTAAAAAATTTTGCAGAAAAACGAAAAAGAGAAAGGCACAGACGTCAAAATTGGTTAAAACAAGGTGTTAGTAAACCAAGAAGAATGGAGATGAAACAAAATAAAAAAGGAACTGAAAAACATCCAAAAAACTAGAAAACTACAGAGATAAAAATGCGAACATGGAACGTAAGAAGCATCAATGGAAAAGAGGTAGAACTTGTAGAAGAAATAATCTGACAAAAAATAGAAATATTATGAATAACGGAAACGAAAATGAAAGGAAGAAGTTTAAGGAAGATACACAAAGGATATTGGTTATTTTGGGTAGGAGCCTATGCAAAGGAGAGAGCAAATGAAAGCCTAGGGATAATAATTGCACCGAATAGACTACAATACGTTATAGAAGAAACATATGTTAACCAGAGAATATTATCGCTGAAAATGAAACTGATAGACGAGGAAATATGGACAATAATAACAGCCTATGGAGTAAATGAAGATGCAAAAAAGGAAGAGAAGGATAAATTTTTCGAGGAGCTCAAAATGAAAATTAACAATGGGAAGAAAATATAATTGTAATGGAAGGTCTAAACGGTGGAGTCGGAAATAATAACAATGGAATCGAGGAATGCATGGGAAAAGAAGGAGAAGAAATACTTAACAAAAATGGTGAAAGAATAATAGAAATATGTATGGAGAATAAACTTGTTATAACAAATACAAAATTTAAACATAAAAAAGTACACAAATACACGAGAGTACAAGAAAGCAGAAATTACTTTTTGGTAAGTAGCAGCAAATGGAAAAGAGTACAAGACACGAAAGTGAAAAGAGGCTCAGTGAGAACAACAAAAGAAAATGAAGAAAAGAGGAGAAAGGTAGTAAATGAAAAAGTAAAAAGTTACAAATTAAAAGAAGAAAGATATAAGAAGATATTCCAAGAAAAATTAGACAATATTTTGAAAGGTACGGCAAAAACTGCAAGTATAGAAGAAAAGTGGGAAAATCTCAAGACCAACTTAATCATAGCTGCTGAGGAAACTTGCGGGAAGACAAAACTAGCAAATACTAGCATGAGGAGAACTGAATGGAGGGCGGACGAAATACGAAGTATAATCAGTATACGAAATCTAAGTACAAAGCGCCCTGAAGGCTAGGAGGCATATAAAGAAAAAAGAAGAGAGGTTAAAATAGCTGTGAAAGCTGAAAAAGAAAGGTCATGGGAAAAGTTTGGACTAAAAATGACAAATAATTATGGGGAAAATCAGAAACTCTTCTATGGCGCATTAAAACAGCTCAGATAAAAGAAAGAACACATGATGCCGAATATAAAAGACAAGAATGGAAAGGTAATAACAGAAGAAAACCAAATAATGGAAAGATGGAGAGAACATTTCAAAGATCTAACTCATACAGACGTAGACAACATAGTGGAGATACAAGAAATAAATGAAGAACAAAAAGTAGAACCCATAACAATAGAGAAACTAGAAAAGGCAATTGAAAGAGTTAAATTAGGCAAAGCACCAGACAAGAATAATATCACCCCGGAAATGATAAAATTCATGGGAATAGAGGGAGTGGACAACATGAAAGAACTAATGAATGATATCATAAAGAGAGCAGAAATACCACAGGACTGAAAGAAAGACATTATACTACCAATACACAAAAAGGGCGACAAGAGAAACTGTAATAATTACCGAGGTATTACTATGTCAAGTATTCCTGGGAAGGTATTCGCAAGAATAATAGAAAGAAGAATAAAAACCCAAATAGAACCAACTATGGAAGATACACAATGTGGATTCAGGAAGGACCGAAGCACACAAGATCACATATTCACAATAAGACAAGTAAGTGAATAAGTAATCAATAAAAATAGAGAAATAAATATATGCGTTATTGATCTGGAAAAGGCGTTTGACAGCATCCAAAGAAAGGACGTATGGAGGACATTAAAGGAAAGAGGAGTTGACAAGGTAACAATTGATGTAATAAAGGATATGTACAATAATAATACAAATACGGTGAGAACTAATAACGAGGAATCCGAAGAATTTACTACAAGTCAAGGCGTCAAACAGGGATGCGTGTTGAGCCCACTGCTGTTCTCAGTGGTACTGGATGAAGCAATAAAGAAAGCCAAGAGAAGAATTAGAAAAACTAACATTAGGATACTGGCAAATGAAACAGACTCAACTATCAGAGCTTCTATTTGCAGACGACATGGTTTTGATACCAGAAAACAGAGAAGATCTACAGAACAACCTTGAAATCCTAGAAGAAGAACTGACAAACATAAATATGAAGATAAATACAGAGAAAACGAAAACAATGATAATTTCAAATAAGAGAAAGGCACACGCAATACAATTAAACGAAAAACAACTAGAACAAGTGGAACATTTTAAATAACTAGGAGTAATAATTGAATCAAAAGGTAAACAAGACATGGAAATAAATGAGAGAATGGGACGAACAGGAAGCTTATTTAACACTATGAAAACAACATTTTTGGGGAAAAAAGAAATACCGAAGAAGGTAAAAACTGCAGTCGTTAAATCAGTAGTTTGGAAATGAGGTGCCTGAGGAAAATAGCAAACAGAAAAAGGACAGACAAAATACGAAACGAAACAATCAGACAAAACCTAAAACTAGAACCAATAAAGAAAAAATAGTAGAGGAGCAACTAAGATGGTTCGGGCACGTGTGTAGAATGTCGAATGAAAGATTAACAAAACGAGTGTTTGAATCGAGAGTGCAAGGGAAAAACAAACGAGGAAGACCAAGAGTTAGGTGGGTAGACGAAATCAGGAAAGAAGTTGAAAAGAAAGGATTGACATGGGAAAGTGCACGAAATATAATACAAGACCGGAAAGCATGGAGCCAAAGTGCAAAACTTAACTCCACCAGCCTTACTCCTAACGGTAGAAAGGCTTACGACTAAGTAAGTAAGTACGTTTCTGACATGCTGAAGGCTGTTTCTAACCTATATAGCGTTAAATGATAATTTTTTAGTACTGAAGACAGTATAAAACGGTCGTCCCGATCAGTAGTTCTTCTCTGGGAACCTGTTCCAGGACGAGTGTGAGCTCCTGTCGCTATAAAACAAGCAGAAATACGTTGCACTTCTACTGCGTGAAATTTCAGATTTGTTAACTACGTAAACTTGGCTTTTTCCGTTCTGAAGAGCAACAATAGATGTAACAATTTTTTCACACAAATACATCTCGAAATTGCTAAGCATTGACGCAAACACGACAATAATACACACTTTTGACATCAATAACCAGAAATGTCATAGTAAAAGCAATTGTAACACTGAAGTAAGGGACAAAGAATAATAATATTCTTAAGATTTTCTGACAATATCTGTAAAATTTCAATTTTTCATAGCTTTTAATCTGTTAGTTTGTTCTCGACAAATTTTTAACACACATGTGTACACAGAAAGTTAAATATGATGTCTAAAGAAAATATACTTAGTCTGAAACACTGTTTTTCATAATCTAGTTATACCTTTGACAAAATATTAAACCTATACTCGAGTATCCATACAACAGAATACAAAATTCTGATTGCTTACCTTCTGTGGTATCCGTAGAAGCAAGCGGATCATCACCAATAATCTTCGCAAATTCAGAATCTACATCGTCAAATATATTTGGTAATGCAATAGCTGTGTCTGTTTCTACGTTTGTTTTCTTCTCAGATTTTTTAGTTTTTTTCGAGGTATGTTTACTTTTGCCGCTCACTAATTTGGAAGCATTTGTAAAATGGTCTATATTTTCTTCTTTCTTCTCCGAAATACTGAAAGTTTTGCCTTTAGTTACAAAAGTTGTATTAGTAGATTGATCTACTTTAGATTTACTTTTTTGGGGAAATACTTCTGTACTTGGTTCATTTATCTCTCCAGGGTCTTCTTCTGTTACGTTGTTGTCTTCTTCGTCTGTTAGAGGGTTTATTTCTATATCCCGATTCTCTTTACTTTTTTCAATGAGTACATTTTCTTTTGCAATATTGTCTAATAGCTTAGTAGTTTCATTAACTATTATTTGATCTGGTTTTTCTAGTTCTTCTAGAAATTCATTAATTTCTTTGTTAATTGATTCGTCCGATTCAGAATCATGCCCTAATATATTACTGGTTTCTGTGTTTAACATTGGATCTGGATTTGAAGATTCATTCTCGTTATACACATTCATTTCAAAAACTGATTTTGTTTCATTATCAGCTTCTTCATTTCCAATGTTTGATAGTGGATCAATATGTGAAGTTTCATTTATAGGTATTTCTACTTGTTCTATTTCTTCAGTATCAACAATTTCGGTAAAGGAATTTTGAGTATTACATTCATCTAAATTTTCTGGGGAGTTACTTTCTACTTCTTCAACAATCATAAAATAACCTGTAAAAGATATATACAGTTTTACATAAAACAAAAATTTATATTACACCCTACCCTTATTAACCTGATCATCTTCATTTTCATCAATTTGATCAAAATCATTGTCTGTTTGTTCTTCAATTGTAACTCTATTATCTTCTTTTTCGTTGTTTTCTTCATCATTGACATCTTCTTGAACCTCGTAATGTATGTTAATATTATTGCCATCTGTACTTTGGGATGCATCGGAATTAGTATAATCTTCGGAACATTTTTCGGTGGACTTTGTATAAGCTGAATTATAACTACCACGACTGTTGGAATCTTTATCATTTTCAGTATCGCTAGATATAAGGACAACTTCATCTTCTTTAACAGCCGTAGTTTCATCTGAAAGTTAAGAAACATATTTTTATATATTTTAAGCAAGTAAATTTTTGTTTAAAATTGCATTTTCTGGTCAATTTGATGATGCTGAGTACGAATCTGGAAGTAGCTTTTGTGATCCGGCTTTTAGGTAAAACAAAATTGACAATCAGTTTCTATCTATCACAAAAAGGATGTGGTATATGCGAGCTGGGTTAGGCGACTGGATGAAGTTTGGTAAAGTTTGGTTAGGTGGATTTGGTTAATAAAGGCTAGACTAGGTTTGGTTAAGTTCAATCATTTTAGCTTAGATAGAAATCCATTAATAGAGGAGGTGTATTAGACCGATTATGACTACATGGTTTGTCAGGGCAATAATATTAAACAATGTTGATCTAAAAGTATGGTTAAATTGTTGACTGTAAAGGATGCACATGTAATCTAACGAATCGTGAATATGACTTGCACAGATTTGGCGTAATTCAATTTTGTTCTCCGGTGATTGTATCATTTCGATAGGATTTGAGATAGATCTGAAGATTTTCTGATTCTGTCACTGGAATTTCGTCAGTATGTGTCAGCCTCAAATACACTTCTATGTATCATTACTTCGATTGGATGGTGTTTTGTCAGAAATTTATTTTGTATAACAGAAAAGTTTTCATTTGCTAAATATTATTTCGGCAATAAATTATAAATACTGGATAAAATATTTTTGAATAATAGGCTTGGATCCACAGCTGGTAGAAAGTACGGGTGGTGGAATGGTGTCTAAAAAAACTGTTTATTTGTCAGAAAAACTGATAATCATATTTATTATAATTAAATTTTTTTAAGTAAATATAAAGAAGTTAAAAATACCTGTAAACGTGCCGCTTCTTTTTGATTTTCGAAACACAGTATCTTCAAATCCAGTATCACCAAATATGTTGGCTTCTAATTCATTATAAGTACGTTCTTGTTCGTCAGAACACTCACTTTCTCCGCTGGATTGCTCTTCGTATAACTCCTTTGGTACACAAAGAATTGTATCTGACGACTCTGGTATGTCAGTGTTTTTTTGTTCGATATCATCATAAAACCCTTCATTTAAGGGATGTAGGTCTTGATAAGTAATTTCTTCGGATCGTTTTATATTTTTTTGAATTTCATCGTCTGATGAAATTACTTCTACTTCTTCTCCACTTTCCTCGTTATCTTTGTCACTGTGTAGTTGAGATTTTGGCGATTCACTTCTGTCTTTGAACTTCCTAATTTCCGGCATCCTTTCTCTGGTTTCTACTACATCATCATCAGATGAATAGTCGTCGTCTTCAGTTATTTCTCTATTGTCTTTATCAAAATTAAGTTGACTTCTAGATAAGTTTTCTGTTTGTTTCAATTGTTCACTTTCGCCATCTGAAGTAATCTCTTCGTCTTCCGTAATAACTTCCTTATCCGAATCAAAAGTGAGTTGAGTTTGAGATAACTCGATTTTGTCTTTTTTAAAGTGTTCGCTCTCGCGTAATTTTTTTCCACTTGCCATCAGAAAATCGATATATTCTTGTAAAGAATCAGATAACTTCATGCTTGGTTCTTGCTCTTCATAACGATAACTCAAGTCAGAATCTAAAGACGAGTCTGAATCCAGCGCTTTTTCCAAATTTTGTGTTTTAGTAACAGAACTGCTAGATGTATGAGTTTTATGAGTATCCGATGTAATTTTAAAGGGTGAAGCTTTTTCTTCGGTTTCGACCACAGAGGTATTCGTTTCCACAGTAGTAGTTTTTGATTCTACTAAAGATTTTTCAGTGATCGAGGTTCTCTCTGATTTGAAATAAGAACGTTCTTCAGAAACAATATTTTCTTTTGTCGAAGGAGGATAGATTTTAGAAAATGTATTATTTTCGAGAACTTGTCTACTCAACGACTTTCTTCCTTTTAATTTAGATCCTGATCTAGTTGGTCTCGGTGACAAAAGTTCATCGGACGTTGTATGTTCCTCAATCTCTTTGTTTCTCTGAGTTTGTGACTCACTAACACTTGGGTCCTCCTGTGTTACTTGTAATTTTGATAATCTTGGACTAGACCGTGTTGGCGTTAGTTCCACTGAACCTATAACAATATTTAATATCATCTTTTGACCAAGAAAAATTAAATAATTGATTGATATAAACTGTTGATAAATACCAATATAAATGTTCTTTTTTCTACTAATATACAATTTCAACAATTTTAACTACAACAATTTCTCACCCGTAGCTCCAAAAGCAACTTGTACAAGCTACAGGTGTGTTTCAGTTGAAACGATAAGAAAAAATTTTGCGTCCAAGGACTATATAGCAGTAGACAGTTATGGGTTCCCGAGTTATCCAGGCAGCACAAGATTGATCGCCTACCATCGCCTTGATTGATCGCCTAGATGAAACCAGGATTTGTGTAAAATCAGATGAGCGAGGAATTCGTGTACTAAGGGGGCGAAGGAGATAAGCAAAACGAAAATTGCCAGATTTATTCACAGATATAAAAGAGTGTCATGTGCCTTTAATTTCCAACCAACCAACTTTAACAGCTAGCAGGTATGTTGATTTAGTTCTAAAACCTGTAGTTACGTTCTGGAGAGGTGCAATGGAAGAAAATTTAATTTTAATGCCTGATAATGCACCTCCACATATCAGTGGAGTGACTACAGACTTTATTGAAGCAGAAGATGTTACAGTTCTGGCGTGGCCTGCTTGCTCACCCGACCTTAGCCCTATAGAGCATTTGTAAGATATAAAAGAAGAATTAGAGCTCGCCGGGATAATCCACAAAATATCGACCAACTAGTACAAGCTGCTCTTGAAGAATGGAAGAACCTTCCACAACAAAATGTTGACAATTTATTTAGGAGCATGCCCACGCGAATTGAGCATTACATAAGGGCTAGGCATCGAGCAAAAAGACAAAAGAGGGAATGTAAAGGTAGTGGGGACAAAAATATTGTTAGACAGAAAGTGCCAGTTTGAGAGGCCACTTTAAAAAAGGAAAGACAGTCTCTTTCCTTGTTTAAGAAATCAAATTTAGTTTGGTTATGTTATTCTTTGTCCTAACTGTCACATGAAATTCTATTTATATTGAAGTTTTTTACCATTTGTGTCACATTTTAGACTATTATCGTTAATATTTAATTAAAACTTTCTCGTCTGAAAAATATTTTATAGCTATTGTTAATAAGTGTCGAAAAATTTAAATTTAGCGCCTGTGCATTACCAGGGATGGATGTTTTAATTTGTTATTTTAAGAATTTATTGTTTTCTTTAAATTCTATGTATTGGTGATTAAATGTCTTTAAAATAAAGTTCTGTTGTGTGTATATTCTGTGGAAATTAAAAAAAGTATTGTACTATGGTATGCTTTGTACTTTTATTGAAACTGAATTTATTCCAAGTAAAAACCAATTCCATAAATAAGAATTGATAAGTGTTTGTAAGAACCTCTACGTGCAGAACAAACGCAAAAATCTAGTCCAAAGTCAAGGTTCAGACCGTGATTTGTTAGGATTAGCCTCATGCACTATGTCCTGAAAGGTGCCGCATAAACAGGATGTTCCAAGATGTTTTTAAAAGTCTGTAGCTGAGGATGTAATGACTATGTTTAACCAAAAATTTGGAAATGTCAATTGGGCAATGAGAAAACTGGAAGCTTTTGAGATGTGGATTTTAGGAAAAAATTTGAAGATACCATGGACCGATCATATTACGAACGAAATGGTGTTGCACAGAATGGGAAGAGACAGGGGACTTTTGACCACTATTAAAAGGCGAAAGACAGCATATTTGGAGAATATACTTAAAAATGATAAATACGAATTGTTGCAGCTGATTATGAAGGGTAAAATCTGCTTCAGAAAAGCAGAAGATAGAGAGAATTTGCAATGGTTATAGCCAACCTTCATTGGTGGAGACGGCACTAGAGGAGGAAGAAGAAGAATTGGACCTACAATACTCTCATTTAAGGGCAACTGTAATCTATGACAGCATCAGAGGCGCTGTGAAGTCATCGCAATGAAAAAAAAAATGGGTCAGGGGGACGAAAGTTAGCTAAATGAAAGCGTTTTTATCCCAAATTCAACGATGTACCACAATGAGGCTAGAATAGCAAATAATTATGCTAAATTTTCAATTTAAAATTTGTTTTTAACAATAACCAATGACATGCATAATGGTTTAACTAAAATACATAACTGCTTAGTACTGAAAAGCATTTCAAATACAAAATCAACAAATCTCTATTGCTACTAATAAAATTACTGCGAAAATATTAGCTACAGTTAAACGGGATTCATAAAAACTGGTCCTAACACTATAATTTAAATTCTGTTTGAAACCAACTCAATTATTTTACCAAGATAAAGTTTAAAAATAATTAAAAAAGATAAAAATTATTTATAACTTACGTTTATAGCTTCTTCTAGCTCTGGGCGATGCATTTGTCACTTTTATTTCGGGGGTGGAAATTCCTTTTAGAATATCAGTTTCTTTCTCAGGCTGTTCCTTCTTTTCGTCAACTGACTCTTCACTGTCTACCGATGCCCTTCGCTGATCTGTTTCTGTGTGGACTGTTTCTATTTCTTCTTCATCTGCTTTTTCGTCTATATTGCTATTACCAGAGTTATTAGGGGAATAAAAAACATCATCGCTAAGTTCGTCATGGACACTTGAAGACAAAATGGAGCTAATATCCTTAGAGGACATTGAAGACCTCAAATTACTACGATTGCCCACTGAGGAACTTTCCAGTTTGGATTCATCGCTTACAGATGTAGTAAACTGTGTTGCTTCATCAAATTGTACATGTTGTCTCTTGGGCGTACGAGGTAGAGAGCTTCTTGATTCTAAACGCAGACTTTTATTCTAAAAATGTACAATTTAATAGCATAATGATGATATATATATAATATATATATATATATATATATATATATATATATATATATATATATATCTATAGTTTTGACTAGTAACACTATCCCAAATAAACATGAATTTCATATTATTTTCAAATAATTTGGATAGTCTTCATTACATCTAAAAGCAGTCAAAGTACCTAAATAAAAGTTTTAAATTCAAAGTTGACTATTAATATTTTGTTTAAGCTAAATTTGTAACCAAAATGTGATAGATCAGTTTTCAAAACGTTTGAAAGCTAGAACATGATATAAAAAAAGCGGAAAAAATAAATTGTTATAACAGAAATAATCAATAAAAAAATTGCAAAAAAAATTATTTCTTCTAAACTACAGACTAATGGGGTGTTGCAATAAATTACTAATATTATTAATATTTTATTACTATCTTTAATGGGACTTAAACACAATTTCAGTTTAAAATACGTTTATTTTGATGTTTTATTTCTACTTCGGAAATCGTTCTCAAAATACACAATTTGTATTACTGAATTATACATAATTCTCAGTGGTTGGTGTATACCATATTAAAAAAAAAACTTACAAAGATGTGTTAAAAATGTTTGGTGTATTAAATATATACACTAATAAATTATGAAAATATTCAAATATTACAAAATTTTTAAAATGTTTTGAGTCTTACCAGATCATGCTTAGGACTTGAACATTCGCAAAAATCCACTTACAAAATGGTTTAAAAACCTTTGGTTTACATATAAAATATTTTTTGAAATTTTAATGGCATAATGTCGTTAAATTTTAAGTTTAAAAGAACGAACAAAAAAAGGAAGTTTTACTATTAAAAACAGTAAACTGCTCTACCTTAGACACATAATAAGAGAAGAAAAATGTCAATTGATAATGCAAGGAAAGATAAGCAGAAGATCAATAAAAAGAACAAGACATTCCTAAACAATCCGCGAGTATGGTTAAACAACACCACTAATTATCTGTTTAGAGCTACAGTCTCGAAAGTAAGTATAGTCTTAATAATTTCCAACCTTCGTACCGAAGACGGCACTTGAAGAAGATGCTCCGTCAAGCAAATATTCGACGATGTTTTTTCACATTTTCTACCATTGGTTTTATCAGCATTGTATCGTATCCTGATCAGGTGCTTATCTTGCATGGACTAGCCACAGAACATCAAGAGTATAATCGGACAATACAAATACAATACAAATTCTTGGAAACTAAAGCCTAATTAGACTAGGTCCAAGATGTATGACCAACATCGATAAATCCATACATTTCCTTCGAAATTATTGCTCCTGGTAGCATTTGATTTTATTTAATACTTTTAATTAAAAATATATTGATTTTTGGACATTCTGTCCGAAACGCGTGACCAATGATTACACCAGACATGACATAATTATTAAAAATGTCATCATTATATTATAATAATTTGTGCAGAAGCTATAACGCATGGCATAAAAGTGTGCATACCGTATTATTTATTCGTACTACTTTTGTACTGGTAGTTATTTATTTTATTTTAACTTGAATTATTGGTTACAAACCTTCGATGTCCAAAGACCAGATAATTTTAAGCATCACGTAAATGAGAATTAATGAGGAATCTTCAGAGATAACAATCAGCGGGGTTAAACACGCTATTGAAATCGTTTAAAATTTCAATTCGTTGAAGTAAAATGTGAACTTCTAAAATTATTTGAGCTTCATGCAAATTTGCATACAATTCAGAACAAAATGAAAACTAAAGTTTATGTTAAGAAAAGGAAGCTAGAGTTTTTGGGAAATAAATATGAGATACTTCAACTAGCAATGCAATGTAAAAGCATGTGCCGAAGAAGTTAGGACGCCGTAGATATTCCTAGTTGCTTAATCTGCGTTGTCTTAATCATGTCGTCACTGGAATTATTTCTTGCGGCAGTGTCTAAAGTTAGACTTGTCATGTTGGTCGGGAACCTCCAAAATGAGAAGCAAAAAATATCATGCTTTTTATCGGTGACACATCTAAAACGAGACGACTACTAGAAATAACAGAGATGAAAATATTCCAACGAATATCAGAGAAAAGTATGTTGCATATAAGCTGATTATAGCCGCAAAAGTCAAACATGGAAGAAAAAATGGCATGTTTTTATTATGTAGATGCTTCATGCTTCAGATATAAAAAGATGAAGCTTTAGAAAAGTACATTTTGTTTATATTATGTTGACAATGAGTAAAATATTTTTTCTGTGGAGAATAATTGCAGTTAATTATTAGAATTTTTTTTAGCAATGACTCTTTGATAGATTAGGGGATAGATTTGGCAATCGTCAAATCAGCAGTTGCCAGATTACAACAGATGTTTGCAATTAATCTCGAAAGAGTCAAATATCTACTCCTTATTGCTTCATATAAATTAAAAATTGCAGAATTCATAAAATAGTATATTCAAAATGTACTTTTTAAAAGCTTTATTTCTTTATATTTGAAGTATACAACATATGCATTATATAAACATGCCAACACTACCGAACCAAAATATTTTTGACATTTGCGACTATATTCAGCTTGTACTTTCGGTACACTCAACCGTATGTTGGATAGGGAGAGAAGCGAAAACATAAGAAGAGCATGCAATATAGAAGACATAAATGGATGGGTGATAAAACGGAAACAGAAGTGCAACGAACACATTAGTAGAATGACAGAGGATAGGATAGTACGAATAGCACGATATAAGTCACCAAATGAACGAAGAAGTATTGACAGACCAAGAAAAAATGGTGCGATAATTTAAACAACTTAGGAGGCTAATATTGAAGAAGAAACAGGCTTTAAAGCGGAAGAAGAAGAAGCATATCAAGCTAATATTTGGAATGACTTCTGTGGTCCGTTTAACATTATTGCTGAATATGGTTCGCTGTTTCACTTCGAGATGAATTAAAGAAAGATATTAATGCAAACAAATTGCAGGTAGAATATTTAGGGAAAATCAAGCAGCAGGCTTAGAGACATATGGAGAAAATGGATACGGAGAAAATTGTCAAGGAAATTACTGATACAAGACCTTAATGGTATTGTTATAGCAAAACTATAGGGCAAATCCTAATTAAAGAGAACGAAGGACTTACTTGTAATAATCGGCCACCATGATTTTCACTGACCTTATCTTCATCTTGAAGTGTATCATCTGTAACGCTGTCTCTTTTTTGCACAAGATGTCTAACCTACAAAAAAATATATAAAAATAAATGACATATATGATGTATGGCGGGATCTGTGAGGATTTAAATTGAATGATCAAAGTTGCTATACAAAAGTAGCTCAAGTGATGGATTATTTTATTAAATATTTCGTGAGAATACACCAGAAAGTATAACGTGAACTCTTTATTTGACTATCTTGTTTCTATCAAGGAATGTAAGCTTCCAGTTACGTTGTTTTGTAATGATAGATTATTTTCAAGGTTGATAGGCTGTGGTTTGAAATTTTAAAGCTACATTTAGATTTATATCAGCGATATATATATATATATATATATATATATATATATATATATATATATATATATATATATATATATATATATATTTCAACTATCAGCAAGTTGTGTCTACACATCTATGATATCTATACCGATAGATGTTAAACACTTGTTAGTTCGAAATTGAAAGTTTCGAACATTTATTGCAAAAATTTGGATGTTATTCTTCTTTTGACACTTCTGTTATGATACAAGATGGGTGATAAAAAAAAATGTAATTGAAAGCTAATGGGTAACAATGAATTAATTTGTATCACTGTAAGCTTATGAGTTATGCATTATGGGATTTTACAAGGACAGATTAAAAAACATAATACATACTCTTGCCTACCGCATGAATAGTCCGATCGAGAGAGCGGACTTTAGTTGGTAGGCAGGGAGCTATGGGTACATCTGTGAGCACGACTCTCACTGGAAGAACTGCGTGTGGATGGCTCCTTCCACCCTGAATCCAACACACTCCAGGGCAGCCTTAAAGGGACAGGACCTAGTACGATCTTTAGAAGATTTACCACCTCATTGCCAAAAAAAGTCCCGCAATATACCTTTTAACTTGTTCCCATATCAGTTCAATAGAGTTTAGTTGGCAGTGGTAGTGAAGAAGGCACACGACATCAATATCATGTGTTTTTATTGCAGTGTTACCACTGCATAACATACTGGAGGTTTATTGAATTGTACAAATTGTAGCAATTCAATTTTTACAGATTTTTCTGAAAAACTAATGTCTTTGTTTGTTAGCCATTTAATGACATACTGTTTCTTCCAAGAAGTATTGGGCAGACGTTAAATTTGACGTGAATGATTTTTTTTTTTTTTTTAGCATAATTTAATTTACAATCTGCTTCATCGAAGCTATAAGTAAATAGTTTGAATGTTAAATACATGAGGCAGAAGCTGCCCTGTGGCAACTCTCCTATTATATTTTTTACATTAGATCATAATATATTTAATTTATTAAATCTGTTGGCCATTGTTTCTTCAGTCGTCTTGCGAATTCGGGAGGAGCGTTTAGCAGTCTTGCTTCATCATTTGGATGACTTCTCAGACCATCAAGGTAGCTCTTTGTGATCCTTTGAATTTCTTCCTCTACCAAAGGTGTAGCTGAGTCCTTGTGTAGGGTTTTTATTGCTTACATACCAGGGCGCGTTGAATATTATTCTCAATATTTTTGATTGGACTCTTTGTATTATCTTGATATTTGATGGCTTTGAGCAACCCCAGAGTTGAACGCCATAGGTCCAAATTGGTTTTATCATAGATTTATACAGGAGCAGTTTATTTTCAGTATTGAGTTTTGATTTTCGACCCATAAGCCAGCTCATTTGTCGTATTTTGATGTTGATCTGGGTTTTCTTGGCTTGAATGTGTGGCTTCCATGTTAATCTTTTGTCAAGGGTTAGTCCCAAATATTTAACTTGTGTGCTGACTGGTAATTGTGTATCGTTTAATGTGATTGTTGGACATACATTCCTTCGGTTTGTAAATGTAACTTGGGATGACTTCGTTTCATTTACTTTCACCTTCCATTTGTTGAGCCATGTTCCCAATTGGTTAAGGTGGTTTTGCAGTTGTGCAGACGCGATAATGGGGTCCTCGTTGACAGCGATTATGGTGGTGTCATCAGCGAACGTTGAAATTTGGGTTGTTTCAGTGGTTGGGATATCTGCGGTAAATAATAGGTAAAGGAGAGGACCCAGGACGCTACCCTGTGGTACGCCTGATTTAATGGGAAAATATGTGGAAGTTGCTGTGTTATATTTTACTTGGAAGTAACGATCTTCAATGTAGGATTTCATAATTAGGTAGTAGGGAGTTGGAAGAATGCTTTTGAGTTTGTATAAGGGTCCAGTGTGCCATACTCTATCAAACGCCTTTTCTACATCTAAGAATGCCGCTGTACAATATTTTTTTTCCTCAATAGCAGTAAGGATTTTTGTTATAATTCTATGAGTCTGTTGTGTTGTGGAATGTCTCTCTCTAAAACCAAACTGGTGTGTGGGTATTTCTGCGTCTAGGTTAATGTCCTTCTTCAGTCTATCAAGTAGTAGTCTTTCGAAGATTTTAGACATTGTCGGCAACAGGCTGATTGGTCGATAGGATGATGTTTTATTTGGAGGTTTGCCTGGTTTGTGAATCATTATTATTTGCGCAAATTTCCATGTGATTGGGAAATATGTCAGTCTGAGTGCACTATTGTATATTGTAGTTAACATGACCAATGCTCTTCTCGGAAGATTTTCAGTATTAATCCTGTTATTAGGTCAAATCCAGGTGCTTTGTGGTTATTGCATTTTTCTATTTCTAGTTTCACTTCTGATGGACTGAATGGTGTTATTGGGGGCGTCATAGGGCAAGCACTATCCAGGAATTCTCTTAAGTTTCCATCGTTATCATTATCTGCTTGGTGTTCTTTAAAAATACCAGCTAAGTATTCTGCAAATGTTAACGCTTTTTCCTGGTCTGATCTTCCCCAAGTACCGTCATCTTTCTTAATTGGTGGGTTGTGTTCTGTAGGTCTCTTTAAGTGTTTTGTTGCCTTCCATATTGAGTGATCTTCTTTAGACAAGGTACTAATGTAGTGCTCAAATGTGGCATTGCGTGCATCATTTAGCGCTGTTCTTAATTGTCTGGTTAGTCGATTATATTCGTGTTTGTCATTAATATTGCGGCTTCTTTGCCATCTACCTCTTGCTCTTCGTTTTTCGACTATTAGTTGTCTGATATAATTCGGAGTGGTATTTGTGTTTTCTTGCTTTGGAGTTGATGGTGTAGCTCGATATGCAGCTTGTTGAATTTGACAGGTGAGATAGTTTATAGCTTTATCTATGTCATCTTTTTCTTTCAGTCTGATTCCAAGACTTAGATTCATGTCAAGCTGGTACTTGAATTCACACCAGTTAGTTTTAGGCGACGTTAACTTGGGTATTTCAGGTCGTTTCATTATGTGGGTGCTGAGTGTTGCTATGATTGGTGTATGGTCAGACGAGAGATCCCAATTTGCTTCTATGTCTGTGTAGTTTGCTGCAATTCCTTTTAGGATGAAGAAGTCTAGTAGATCTGGTAGTCTATTTATGTCGGATGGCCAGTATGTTGGTTGTCCCGTCGATAAGTAGGTGCAGTTTGTGTTGTTGATGGCATCTAATAGGCTTCTGCCTTTTGGTGTAATGAGTCGTGAGCCCCAATTCGTATGCTTAGCATTCCAATCACCTCCAACAATGAATTTGTTACCTAGCTTATTGAATAGTTCTTCGTATTCTTCAGTTGTGATTCTATATCTAGGAGGACTATATATTGCAGCAATTTCGAAGTCCCAAGGCCTGGCATTTATATTAAGTATTGTTGCTTGAATCTCATTTGTTTTATGTTCCGGCATTTGATGGTGTTGTATATTGTTCCTTATAATTATTGCGGATCCTCCATGGGCTGTTCCATCTGGGTGACTAGTGTGGTAGACTGAGTATTGAGGTATTTTAATGACGCTTCTTTCTGTGAAATGCGTTTCAGATACAAGAAGGATGTCTATTTTGTTGTCCTTTAGGAATTGGATTACTTCTGCTTTATGGTTTGCTAAACCATTTGCGTTCCACTCGGCGATTCGAACAGATCTAACGAATTTTGTTAATTAATGTTGTTAGCATGGTAAGGATCATGCTGTTTTGATTCATTAGTTGGGTGAACATTGCTTTAAATTCGTTTAAGGATAAGTTCATTTGAGACCCTATGTCAGCTACTTGGTTTCCTGCTCTTACTGCTTGGGCATAGGATTGGGTTCCATTCTGTTGTTGGTACTGTGATTGTTGACTCTGGTACTGTGAAGTTGGTGCTGGGTTAACATTTTGATGTGGGTTCGGATTATTATGGGTCGACTGATTTCCGCTTTGGCGATTATTTCTTGCATTTTGTAAGTCCTTGTAAATTACACAGCCTTATAGTTTGCAGTGTGTTCTCCTGTACACAGGGCACATTTTGCTGGTGTATTTCTGGGTTTTGTACATTTTGGTGATGGGTGACTTCCTCCGCATTTCACGCATGCGTATGGTCTTGTACAGTACGCTTTTGTGTGTCCATAACGTTGACAGCGCTGACACTGTGTTATATTGTTCTTTTTGTGAGGGGGTTCAAAGCTGACTTTCATATTGCCGATATGATCCAGTGTATAAATGTGTTTGTTGTTTTCTTTGGGTTCTAGGTCCACATAGAACATTGACAAAGGTGTTTTATTGACTCTGTGCAAAACGTTAATGATATTACGGACAGTATGTCCCGATTTACCTAGTGTAACAAGATTGAAAGGGGCTGGAGCGCCAGTAACAAGAGGAGAAGGCTACTTGCCAATGTGACAAGAATGGGATTTGTTTCTGATGAAACAATGTAACCGGAATGAGGACTGTGTAGTGTAGCAATAGGGTAAACTCTAAAATGTCCCTTGATACACCAACGGACTAATATCTGTAGTAACAGAAGATGGAAGGGATTAGATAGAGATAAATGATGTAAAAGAAATAAATAAAGGGTAAATATGAATATTTAAAAATATAATAAAATTAATGCTGGCTAGCGACTATGCAGGAGAATGACCACTTGACACTCAAAGAGGGATTCGGCCAATTTGCATGCCCTACAGAGACCGTAAGATATAAGAACTAATGACAAGAAAACTAACAAGAAATAAACAGATGA